AAGAAGAGGAAAAGAAAGCATAAAAAAATATTATTCATGGTCATGATCAGCCATTTGAGAGTTTGGAAGAAGAAGAAAAGGATTCAGTGATTTCTGTGTTAAATTGAAGTGGTCAAGACCGGAATGATGATGAATGTAATTTGGTAATAACGTAATAAGATTAGCTATTGATTTTTTTGTCTGTACATTGTACAAAACTTTGTAATATTCTGTTGGTTTGCTTGTCTTAGAGCTGCAGAATCTAATTTTCTTGTGGAAGCTGGAGCTCTCTTGTCCATTGCTAACATTGTAACTTCTGTGAATATTTTGTTTGCCTACAGCGCACAAGAAACTTGTTGGTGGTACCTTTAAAAAACATGATGTCAAAGTGATTGAGCGCGTCGATAAACAAAAAGTGGATGAGCTTATGGATTCTTATCTTCAGCTTTTATCTGAAACTGAGGTATGAAGTCTCTTCTTTTTCGTTATGGTAGATATAATTGTTCATATAAAGATCTAACATAAATGGAAATACCTTGTGTCCTTGTAAATATAGAGCTTAGACTCTTTAAATTTTTTAGGCATTCTTAGTCAGGACCATTTTTATATGACAAACTAATGAATTGACATAGTTCTTTTTAGGTTCAAACCGATAAACTTTGCATTGCAGGGCAAAATATCGAGGAAGGTATCGTAGAACTAGTTGCGCGACACAATATTAAGTGGTTGGTAATGGGAGCTGCGTCAGATAAGCATTACTCATGGTAAGATATGGTTATCTATTTTATTTTATACGGTATAAATGTTCTTTATCTGACCTCTGAAATTCATATATCAATTTAAATTTGAAATGCCAGGAAAATGACGGACTTAAAGTCCAAGAAAGCCATATTCGTTTGCAAAAGAGCTCCTGATTCCTGCCATATTTGGTTTCTGTGTAAAGGTTACCTTATCTTTACAAGGTAAAATTTTATTTTCTTTTGAAGGTTGCATAAAGAGTGAGTAAGATGTCCTCAGTCATCGTCTTTCCCAAGCTAAACTGTTATGACACATCTGTACAAACTTCAGTATACTATATTACGGACTTTGGTTCTTGGATTTAGTTATACATATAACTAAAAGAGTCATTCTTAAAAACAGGGCAACAAATGAGGATAGTAGTAACAGTCAAACAATGCCTCCCCTAGTACAGCTGGAGTCGGATAACGAGACAAGGAAATCAGAAAAATTGGAATCCTCTTATATGAGGAGAAGATTAAGATATTGGCGTAGCCTCCTTGAACAAGGTAGCGCTTGGCTTGGATTTTGCAAGGTCCCTCTGGATATAATTTCTTTTGCTATCAGTTGCATTCTGTCTCTGTATGGTAACTTTCTTACAGAATTGTGCAGATAGTGAGAAAGACACAGGTCAACTGGAGAGAGAAAAGGTGGAACCAAGACCAGCTCCTCATTTCTCTTCAGGTTCGGGTTCTTCCTTTGGAGAGCCAGTTGGTCCGGAGCCGGCTGGACCAGAATCAGTTGGCTCAGATACCTCAAGTACCTCAAATATTGAGGTAGGAGGAGTTTGCTTCGTCTTTACTTTTATCTTACATACTGATGATACTGGTCATGTAGGAGCTATAATTCCCTTTAGTAATTCCTTTGCGTGAAAGACTATTTCGGAAATTAATTACAGGGGCTGGGTTGTCTTCAAGTTCTTGATATATAGATGTTTTAAAAAATTTACTTTATTGAAACGATTTATGAGAGTAGTTTTTCATTTCAATATATTGAAAGCTCTACTCCAAGTGGACATGATGCTGTCACTTCTTAGTATAAGCAAGCATTAAATCCGTATGGTAATCGTATAATCCTGTGAAATTTCAGGAGAAGAAGTGTGAAGGAAATGTAGCGCGTGAAGTTCATAGGTATGATAAAGCCATGCATGATATCGGCCAATCAGAGAGAACTGTCTATGGGGAAGCTCGAAAGGAATGGAAAGAGGATGACAGTACCATGGAGGCTTTATGCAAGGTTATATGTCCAATCCATTTTTCAGTTAATTGGAGATGATAATTTTTCAAGTAATAGTATCTATCCATTTCTGCTAGTTGTGCGATAGATAAATCTGCTTGTCTTTGTTACCACATGCAAAAAGGCTTAACATAAAGATTTCACTGGGGACTCGTAGATTGCTAAATTAGGTACATACCTTCTTCATTTGATCAAAACAAATGAAAATATAGATCCATGTGTGTTTGTGGATCACAACAAATGAAAAGCGAAGGAAGTCTAGAATCTTAAGATGAGCAAGCTTTGCCTCAGAGGCTGTTATATAAATTTGATGTCAAGTACTATAGCAGTTTAGAACCGCTAGTACTTTGGCCTTGATTGGTATAGCTTTTTGATAAGCAGTAGCATAATGCAGCATTAGCAGTAAGCAGGTGGAGCAGTATGCTCTGATTAATATACACATTTACCTGATTGGTTGAGCTGTGAATGATTAGATATAAAATTAAAATAAATTATTTTATTTTACTTATTTATATGTATTCTAATACATTTTATATATATATATAACTTATGACTAATATATATATATTAGTCATAAGTTATAACATCAATTTTTATTTTTTAATTAAATTATTATTTTATTATAATACTATTTCACAAATAATATGATAAATAAACTAATGGTATATATTAAGTTTTCATTTTAATATAAATATAAATATGTTTAAGAATTATAAATTTTAATATTTAAGTTATATTTTTATTAAAATTTATTTAAAAAATAATAGAACATATAAAAAATGATAAATATTAATATATATATATATATATGTTTTATAATTACAGAAATTATGTATATTTACTTTTATTGAAATGNTTGTATATATTATATTTANAAATTATAACATAAATTTCTTTTATAATCTTTTCGAATTTAAATTATATTTAATTGAATTAGTATTATATTATAATATTATCTTAATATAATAGAATAAATAAAATAATGATAAATATGAATTTAAATAACTAAAAGTTAATATAATTTGTTTTTGTTGTAATATAAAATAAATTGGTTAGTTATATAATTTTTTTTTTAATTTTTTAATTTTTGTAAAATGTTTAGAGATCAATGCTCTGGAAATGCTTTATTTGAGAGCATTGAGGGAGGAGCATTTTGAGAGCATATGCCCTACTTAATGCTCTGTCAACCAATCAAGTTTTAATGATAAAAGACATAATGCTCTTTAAAATGCTCTGTCAAATTTGCTTCTCTCTCTGTTTATTTTTTGGGTTTTTTTGCCATGCCATCTCACAGGCTAAAGCATTGGACGGCTTATGCATTAAGGAGGTGAGTCGAAGAAAGAAATTGGAGGAATCACTGGAAAAAGAAAAGGAGGAAGTCAAAACAATAATAGAACAGAACAATGGATTCATGAAAAAACTTCAGATGGTTCAGGGTCAGAATCTTAACTTGGAGAGCCAGATCAGGAAACTGCAAGACTTGGAAAAGGAACATGGTGAGAAATTTGATACGGCAATGGAGCTCTTGAAAAGTTTTAGGCAGAAAAGGGATGAGATCCGTATCGATCATGAGAATGCGATAAAGGAAGTAAAAGCATTGAGGAGATTGATAAAAGGAGACACTGGAGAGTCTTCCGGGGCAGAAATGCTCGATTATTCCTTTATGGAAATCAATGAAGCCACTAACGAATTCGATCCATCCTGGAAACTTGGAGAAGGCAAATACGGAAGTGTCTACAAAGGGAATCTTCAACATCTTCAAGTTGCTGTAAAGATGTTGCCCTCATATGGCTCCCAAAACCACTTTGAGTTCGAGCGTCAGGTAAAGGACCTAATCTATATATAATATGGCTTAAACATATATGAAAACATCCTCCTCACAGTTTCTCTAACAAATTCTGATTGTTTTCTGGATTTCAGGTGGAAATTTTAAGCAGGGTAAGGCATCCAAATCTGGTAACATTAATGGGTACTTGTCCAGAGTCTCGGTCTCTCATTTATCAGTATATTCCTAATGGAAGCCTCGAAGACTGCTTTGCATCTGAGAACAACGTTCCTGCACTTTCATGGGAATCTCGGATCAGGATTGCCTCTGAAATATGCTCTGCCCTTTTGTTTCTTCATTCAAACATTCCTTGCATCATCCATGGAAACCTAAAACCGTCCAAGATTCTCCTTGATTCCAATCTCGTCACCAAGATTAACGACTATGGGATCTCTCAGCTGATCCCGATTAATGGAATCGACAGGTCGGATCCCCACGTAGATCCACATTACTTTGTCTCCGGTGAAATGACTCTGGAATCAGACATATACTCATTTGGAATGATTCTCCTTCAGCTTCTCACCAGAAGATCTCTCTCTGGCATACTGAGAGACGTCAAATGCGCTGTTGAGAACGATAACATCAGCGCGGTCCTGGATGATTCAGCTGGAGACTGGCCAATTACACGAGGAAAAAAGCTAGCTAATGTAGCCATCCGTTGCTGTAAGAAAAACCCGTTGAACCGACCAGACTTAGCCGTGGTTCAACGGTTCATAGATCGAATGAAAGTCCAAGAAGTTTCTTCATCAGAATCATCATCAGCATACACAAACCAGAAAGTTCCACCACGCCGGCCTCCTTCTCATTACCTCTGCCCCATTTTCCAGGTACTTTTCTATAAAGTTTCAATGCCTAAACAGAGTTTGATGATCAGGAAGAAGACAAAACTTGAAATATGTTTGATTGTTGTGAAACACAGGAAGTGATGAAAGATCCTTTAATAGCGGCAGACGGATTCACTTACGAAGCAGAAGCGATTAGGGAGTGGTTAGCGAATGGGCACGATACGTCACCGATGACAAATCTGAAGATGGAAGACTGCAACCTCATACCTAATCACGCTCTTCACCTAGCTATCCAAGATTGGCAAAACCAATGGTGATTTACCTTTGCCTCTTTTTCTGGAGACAGAAAAGTATTTGCTACGATAACTCCCAATTTTTTTTGATTGTCACTTTGTAAATTCACCCCCAAACGTTTGGAAAATGTATAAGCCCCACATAAGTTATTATAATTCGAAACGATGGTTACTTGGTGCCATTGGTATTAAAACATATTTAAAGTTCATACCAATCAATCATCCTCCTTTAGTATTCATCTGAAAGTCTTCAAAATCTGTTTACCTAACAATTTCGACACTTGCACATTTTAGATACTCTACAAAATGTAAAAGTAGGCCACAGTTACACCCAATACGATGTCGTTCATTTGCCCGCCAAAAAGAAAATTGAAAGAAGATGTAAAGTGTTGAATAGATGCTTTGACCGTTAGGTATTTGGCAAATCAGAATCAGCAGACATACTTTGCGTCCTCACTGATCCAGAATTTCACGAGTTAC